CGCCTCACTTGGACTGCGGGCTCAGTTTTAATACCTCATTTTGGACTGCAAGCTCTATTAAATCCCTCACATTAGACTGCAGGCTCTGTTTAGGTCCCTCAGCGCCTAGTGTCCCGCAACCTCTTCCCGGCTCTCCGTGAGCCCCAAGTCGGCACGCGGCTCGGGCGCGGGAGGTGTCCGGGGGCTACGTCATTGACCCCTTCTCTCCGTCTCGCTCTAACCCGATGGGCATCGCCACCCGCAAGCACTCCAGGAAGAAGCGTCTCATACTCGTCCTCTCCTGTCCCCGCTCCGGGCCCGCCCGAGCATCAACAGCCCCTTCCCTCCGGCGCCCTTCTCCCTGTAGTCCGCTACCGTGGACCACGCGATCAGGCTGATAAAGACTTTCGGCCCCGGCTCCTGGCTCTCCAAGGCCGTCATCCCGGTCGCGTTCAAGCAAAAACCCTCAACGACGCGGTCTGTCTGGACGCGGGGTGCCGCTCCGACCTGGCGTTCTGGTCCCGCCTGCTGAGTCGCTGGAATGGCGTCTCCTTCTTCTACAGTGACATCGTCCTATCCTCGGACGCCCTGCGGTTCTTCACCGCAGGGCGGTGGGTTTTGGGGGATTCTTTCAGGACCAGTGGTTCGCCGGGCCCTGGCCCGACGCCTTCCCTCAAAACATCTCCTCCGCGCTCCACGAGATATATCCCGTGACCGTAGCCTGCGCGCTGTGGAGCCATACTTGGCAGAGGAAAAGGATTTCCGTGATGTGCGACAACCTCGACGTAGTCGAAATAATCAACAGAGGTCGTTCATCCTCTCCCCAAATCATGACCTTTCTTAGACGCATCACGTGGCTCTCAGTCCTGAACAATTTTATTATCACTGCTCGTCATGTCCCTGGTCACCTTAACTGTATCGCTGATTCTCTCTCTCGTTTCAAATTCCAGGAGTTCCGACGCCTCTGCCCTTCTGCCAACCCATCACCATGCCAGATCCCCTGCATGGAATCCCTCGCCCTGGACTAGTCCCTCCGTCTCTTCACCTCCTCATCTCCTCCGCTGCGTCCTACATGAAGATGGGCCTTTCACCTTCCACACTGAAATCATACAGTTTCGCGTGGAAAGTCTACTCCAGCTTCTGTCACGCCCACTGCATTCCACTCATTCCGCCCTCTGCTGTCACCGTATGCGCCTTCATGGTTCACTGCGCGGATAACCTCCACTATAAAATCACCTACATTCGCTCTCTACTCGCCGGGATTCAATTCCAGGCCCGCTGTCACAACCCCGCTTTCCCCTCTCTATTTTCTGATCCATCAATCAAACTCGTCATCAAAGGCATTCACAATTGCACCCCGCATTCCTCGGACCTCAGGCGCCCCATCACACTGTCCATTCTCCACCAGCTCTGCTCCGCACTCAGCTCCAGCCCGCTCTCAAAGTACGCCATCGCCCTCCTGTCCAGCGTCTTCCTCCTCGCTTTTTACGGCTTCTTACGCATAAGCGAGTTCACTAACCCCCACACCACCTTCAATGCAGCCCGAGACATTGCCTTCTCCGACCTGGCTTACTATCCCGACTACTTCAACCTTCACCTCAAACATTCCAAACGCAAGGGCGCTTGTAATATAGTTATAGCTCGGTCTGACTCTTCTCCCTGTCCCTATAGATCCATGATGCAGTACACTCGCCTCCGCTCTCGGAAAGGAGATCTCAACGGACCGTTATTTCTTACCCCCGATAACCTCCCTATGTCCTCCAACTGGTTCAGAGCCCAACTCAGGTCCGTACTGCTGCTTTGTAACATGTCTCCCCATCTCTACACAGCCCACTCCTTTCGGATAGGCGCCGCCACGCGCGCCGCGTCCCTTGGGCTCCCCTATTCCGCCCTCCAGCAGCTGGGCCGCTGGTCATCATCGGCCCTCTCCTCATACATCAGGCCTGACACTTCTTCCATCCTGGCAGCCCAGCGGCTTTTGGCATCTTCTTAAAATGCTCGCTAAACTCCTGGTGGCGGCAGCAGCTGAGGATCCGCAAGTTTGGTCACAGTAGATAGCGGTCACAGCATATAGTGATAGCGGTCACAGTATATAGCGATAGCGGTCACAGTATATAGCGATAGCGGTCACAGCATATAGCGATAGCGGTCACAGTATATAGCAAAAAATGGTTAGCGGTCACAGTATATAGCAAAAAATGGTTAGCGCGCGATGGTCGCGACTCGTCAGCATATAGCGATAGAGGTCACAGTATATAGCGATAGCGGTCACAGTATATAGCGATAGCGGTCACAGTATATAGCGATAGCGGTCACAGTATATAGCGATAGCGGTCACAGTATATAGCGATAGCGGTCACAGTATATAGCGATAGCGGTCACAGTATATAGCGATAGCGGTCACAGTATATAGCGATAGCGGTCACAGCATATAGCGATAGCGGTCACAGCATATAGCGATAGCGGTCACAGCATATAGCGATAGCGGTCACAGCATATAGCGATAGCGGTCACAGCAAAGAGTAGTCTCGACGTCTGTCCCCTCCAAACCAGGCTGCAAAACTCCATCAACTCACAACCTTTTTGGGGATTGGCTCGCTCCTTCGCATGGAGGCCCTCCGATCCGAAGGCCGCACCGGGGCCTAGGGCGCCAAACCTCCTCCCAATAAAATACTCAAAGCTTCTTGTTTCTCGTCTCTCCAAATTGAAATGCAGCCAGCGAAAGTTCAATTTGGTAGACGTCAGCCAAAGGTAACCCCTCCAGGCCGGTTCTCATCCCCAGCCTATCGCACGGCAAACGCCCCCTTCCAATCACCGGTCCAGCCAGGCAAGCTGCTTAAAAGCGGAGGAACTCCCATTCTCGGCCTTCTCGAAGCCTGCAACCACCGCCTCCCCTCCTCCTCCTCTTCACCCTGCCTTCATTCTGCCTTCAATCTGCTTCCCGCTGCCAAATGCCGCCACCAGTGCCTAGGTCCCGGGGGATTGGCTCGCTCCTTCGCATGGAGGCCCTCCGATCCGAAGGCCGCACCGGGGCCTAGGGCGCCAAACCTCCTCCCAATAAAATACTCAAAGCTTCTTGTTTCTCGTCTCTCCAAATTGAACTATTACAAGTTCAGCAAATGGCAAAGTTGGCAAGGCAAGGCAAGGCAAGTTTATTTGTATAGCACAGTTCATACACAAGGCAACTCAAAGTGCTGAACAAAACAAGAAAGCATTAAAATCATAAATAATCACAGAACATTAAAAAGGAAGATAAAAATATAAAATCCCTCAGTTGTATGCACAGCTAAACAGAACTGTTTTTAACCTGGTTTTAAACATTGTCAGAGAGGAGGCCTGTCTCCCATCTTCAGGGAGATTATTCCAGTTTGTAAGTAGGAGTCTGTAGTCATTGTAATCTTCAGAAGTCAAGTGTGTTTCAATTCTATTCAAAGCTGGGGTACCTAACTTTTTTGTTTAATCAATAATACATGTTTGTCTCAACAGAGAGTCTCTTGATAGTGAAATGTGAACAAATCAGACCACAACATTTGATTGGTGTGATTAATTTAAAACCTGCAGAACACAATTTCATATATCTTTAAATTAATACAGGTTTTAATACACCATGGTAGGATTTTGTATATTACTCTTTGTATCTATGAGTTGTTGTATCAAAAGATTTAGGGTTAGTTACTTTTTTGGTATATCCCTTCAATGTTCTAGATCCTCTATCTAAGCAATGTAATTTTGGATTTCATAAGATGTAGCACAAATCATTTGGGTTAATGTTTTCTTTTGTTTAAGTTTCTTTTACCTCATTAGTTTTATTGTTGTTGCTGTTCCCAAATGGTTGAGAAAGAGTTTGATGGTTATTTCAAACTTAAATTGCCTAAAACCAAGTGATAGAGATGCTCCTATGACGTGGATCCATGCTTCAAATGCCACCAAATAGTTGAGGAAACCATTAAAGGGATAAACTGACATTTGTTTTGTGTAGCTGTGGTGTGAATCGTATGTCACAGCCAATTTTAAAGCTCAGAATAGCCCGAATCCAGTCAAAACTGTTTTCTAAAACATGTGACACGTCTGGTGATCTAATGTGGATCTATTACTGTAAAGTTTGGACACCTCTGACCTCAACTTTTCCAATTCTGCTGACAATAGTTCAACACATTGTACATACTACATAAACAGAACAGAATGCATGACGACACTGCAGTCAGCTCAATGCTCTCCGCTGGTTGCGTTTCTCCTTAAATCTTGCCCCAGTTTTGTGTTAGTATTTCTGCAGAGTCCTCAAAGTGGGGGATGCAGAAAAGTAGCTGTTATTTGCTGTGATAAGCATACTGTGTACTTAAGCTGAAACTGCAGCAGTCTGTCACTCAAACTCAACATTGTGAGCCGTAATCTCACAGAAAGGCTTGTTCAAAATGTGCAGGTTTACAAGAAAACTGGGACAATTTATTTTACCTGTTTCCACCTACTCTACTCTACTCTACTCTACTTTACTCTACTGCTAAGTCATTTAAACATTTACAGACAAGCATCAGAGAATCTTAAAATCATCCCTGAATGAAACAGGGAGCCAGGGATTTCTAGAACAAATCATTGTGTTTACCGCTCTCACATCCTCCCTTTGTCTCCGTCTGTTCCAGGTATAATCCGTTGCTGAGGTGTGACGCTCACGACTCGACAAAAGCTTTTCCCTGGAGAGCTGCGACCAGATGCTTCGCTTGCCCACCACCGATCGCATTAGCGCTAACAAAACCCAAGGAACAGACACAGACTAATGCAAGATTTCCCCAAAGTCCACTAAACTAAGCTCTTCTTCAAACTACAAGAGCGGCAGCAAAATGGCAGCCCGATTCATGCTTTGGCCTTCGTTAATTTGGCTTCAAGTTGGATTGTTTTATGGGATGTTGGCGCCAATAGACAACAAAGAATGTCCACGGTTGTGCGTTTGCGAGATAAGGCCTTGGTTCACTCCTCAGTCAACTTACAAAGAGGCCATTACAGTGGACTGCAATGATCTGAGACTCATGAAAATACCTGCCAATTTATCGCTCGATACGCAAGTGCTTCTCCTTCAAAGCAACCTAATCTCTCACACGAACGGAGAACTGGAAGCGTTGGGGAACTTGACCGAGCTGGACTTTTCTCAGAACAACTTCAGCACGGTGGAAGCAGTGGGACTCCGGAGAATGGACCACTTGACGACATTGCATTTGGAAGAAAACCAGATCACAGAGTTGCCTGATTACTGCTTGAAAAACCTCTCAAACCTTCAAGAACTGTACATCAACCACAATAAGATCAACTCCATCTCCGCACACGCTTTTGGAGGTCTTCACAACTTGCTAAGGCTTCATCTAAACTCAAACAAGCTGCATGTGATCGATAGCAGCTGGTTTGAAGAGACGCCCAACTTAGAAATACTTATGATTGGTGAAAACCCCGTGGTTGGGCTTTTGGACATGAATTTTAAACCACTCGCAAGTCTTCGAAGTCTTGTCTTGGCTGGTATGGATCTAACAGACGTCCCAGCCGATGCGTTTATTGGCTTAGACACACTTGAAAGCATTTCTTTTTACGACAATAAACTTGTTTGCATCCCACAACTCGCTCTCCAGAAAGTCCCCAATCTAAAGTTTTTGGATTTGAACAAAAATCCCGTCCAGAAACTGCAAGAAGGAGATTTCCGTAACATGTTGCATCTGAAAGAACTGAGCATCAACAACATGATGGAGCTGGTGTCTATTGACCGCTTCGCTTTGGATAACCTTCCAGAATTCACCAAACTGGAGGCCACCAACAACCCGAAGCTGTCGTACGTACACAAGCAAGCGTTTCGAGATTTACCGGCTTTAGAGAGCTTGATGCTAAACCACAATGCAATGACCGCGCTGTACCAGAGTAGCGTTGAAGCATTACCAAATTTGCGAGAAGTTAGCATACATAGCAACCCACTGAGGTGCGACTGCGTGATTCAGTGGATGAGTTCAAACCGCACGATTGTGAGATTCATGGAGCCTGCGTCTATGCTCTGCTTCTCCCCACCTGAGCTTAAAGGACAGAAAGTGCGAGAATTGAAGTTAGTCGAATCTGCCGAGCAATGTTTACCGCTAATTTCTCACGAGACGTTTCCAAGCCATTTGAATCTGGAGATAGGCATGAGTGTGAGCTTGGACTGCCGTGCTATGGGCAAACCAGAACCAGAAATCTACTGGGTAACCCCTTTAGGAAACAAAATAACGCAAGACGTCGATTCAGACCGCTACCGTTTGAGCAACGAGGGGACTCTACACCTTTCGCACGTTCAGGTGGAAGACTCTGGGAGGTACACGTGCGTGGCACAGAACACGGAAGGCGCAGACACCAAGGTGACGACCGTGCGAGTCAACGGCACGCTAATAGAAAGTGCGCAAGTTATGAAGATATACGTGAAGCAGACCGAGCCGCATTCAATTCTAGTTTCTTGGAAGGTCAACTCGAACGTGATGACGTCAAATCTCAAATGGGCATCTGCGACTATGAAAATTGACAACCCGCATATTACATACACCGCGCGTGTTCCGGTAGACGTCCATGAATACAATTTAACGCATCTCCAACCCGCTACCGAATACGAGGTCTGTCTCACCGTGTCGAATATCCACTTGCAAACACACAAAAGTTGCGTGAACGTAACCACGAGGAGCCCAACTTTCTCTCTCGACATTTCCGATCAGCACCCTAGCGTCGCTGTGCTAGCTGTGATGGTAACTGCGCTAGCGTTCATTAGCCTAGCCACGGTGGCGGTTTACACAGCCAAGAAATGGAGACGGAAAAACTACCACCACTCGCTGAAGAAGTACATGCTCAAAACTTCGTCGATCCCCTTGAATGAGCTGTACCCGCCGCTTATCAACTTGTGGGATGCGGACCCCGAGAAAGAGGTCACGGAAGGGAAGCCCTCTCCGGTCGATACCACGCGTAGCTACTACATGTGGTAAAAAATCTCACATTTCAGCACAAAAAGACACAACTTTTGCCGTTTTTTGAGGCAAAGGTCCATGTTGCTAATGTTTTTGTATTCCCGGCTTTGCTAACTCAAGGCGGAGGAATTGAGGACAGGTTTTTATTAGTATAGCGTATCGCCTTTTGTTGGATTTCTTGTGTTTTGTACTCTCCAAGATGGCAGCTGTGTTAAGCAGGCAGTGATTCCTCATACTGTAATTGCTACTTTGCTGTTTTCGTGGCACAGGTTTGAGTGCGTCTATGCCAGGGGTGTCAAACCGGTTCTCATTCCAACCAAACAGGAGCACAGCCGACTCCACACATTTCCTCATGTGAGGCCAGTCTCAACCTGGAGACTTGAGGGAATGGGTAGAGTCCAGTGTGCTCCTACTTAGTTGGAATGAAGCCCTGCAGCCACTCACCCTGGTTTATGATAAAGCAACATTATGGAACTTTGACTAAAACATGTGGGATTTATTTCTTCTCTTTTTATAGTTTTATTTTATTGGACGATTTTGCCATTAACAAACTACCATTATTATTTATTTGCCATTTTATTTCCTAAAAATCTGTTTTTTGTTTATTTTCTTTATCACAATTTTGGTTTGATTATAGTGTTCCTTTGTTGTTATTATTTTTGCTTAGCCATTCTAATTGTAGATTCAATTTCACTCAATATTGTTTATTTTTGCCCTTTTTTATTAAGCACTACTGCATAGATACCACAATATAGGGCGGCACAGTAGCTGAGTGGTTAGCACTCTCGCTTTTCAGAAACAAGGTCCTAGTTTCAATACCAGTTCGTGACAGGACCTTTCTGAGTGGAGTTTGCATGTTCTCCCTATCTCTGCGTGCTCTGGTTTCCTGTACCACTAAAGCATGTACAGTGCCCCTCTCTCTGGGGCCAGGACTCCCCTGAAAAATATATTCTGAAATGTCATTGGGACTTTCCTGGTTAAGTAAAAGTCAATAAATCAATAAAATATTGATAAATGACAAATATATCACAATATGTTAATTAAAATTGACCCAAAGTATGTATTATAATTTTTTTTATTCTTTTTTTTTTTAACTTAAATACATTAATTCCCCTGCAATTCTAAGACCTGTGTCCAATATAATATAACTACATTATAAATATTTGTTGAGGTATATGAAGCAGAATGTAGTCCCTTGATCGATAAATCAAATTGTTATTGTGTCTAGTTAATTGGTATTAACATAACTTGTAAGCAGATTGAAATAAAGACACCAGTTTTTCCTTCTTAAAATCAGGTAAATGATTTCCAGATTTCCCAGAAAGGCTCAAAACTTTCCTGATGTTGCTTTACTGCGCACGAACCCAGTGGCTCCTCTTGTTAATTATGTAGAAATGAATGTTTCTTTTTGCTTCTGTGAAACAGTTTTTTGTCGCTTACTGAACTGAAGCTGACGGCGGGTTTGTTACAGAGTGGACTCGATGTTGGCGCCTGTGGGTAATGTTGTATCAACTATACGTTCGGATTTTCTCTTGTTTTTCTCACAGTAGAACCTTAGTTTGTTTTTGAATGTTAATGAATCTAGACGCACAATTTTATGTTGGATTTTTCTTGTTTGATTAAAGATGCACTAGGAACGTCTTAATTTCTTTATTGGTTCATCTTAATGATTAACATTAGCACTCCCAGAGCAGTCAATTTGACGGCTTTTTGTTATGGAAGTGTAACGACTCAGACAATCTGTGTCTCTATACAGTAAGTAGTGTATATCTACTGTCATTATTTTTACGTAAATATCTTACTTTTGAAATGTGAGGAGTACAACCCTCATTTGAAAATCTGATTCAAACATAGCCATTTCTGGTTGCTTGGTAACAGTTAAAGATCCTGAGCTTAATTTTCCACTAAAGCAAAGCCAGTGCTAGTTACCATAGCAACACACTGTTTATTTGCAGCATTTAGCCTTTCAACAAGTCTTTACTGTATTTCAAGTTTTTAGTAAAAGTGAGTAAATGTGAATAACTGTATGAATAAATTCTATTAAAACTGAATCTGGTCAAACTAAAAAATGTTTTGGGTAATTTCTCTGAATCCCATCTATTTGAGTGGAAGCAGTCAAAATGACGGCTCTGGGAGTTCAAGTAGTTTCAGAATTTTGGGAGTCCTAGAAATAAGATAAGAGACATTTTTGATTTCTTTTTGCTGTAACATGTAACAATTAAACAATAAATCATTTTTGCACAATATTGTTTCTTCTCCCAAAATTATTATTTTAATAACTAGTTTAGAGAAAATTTCATTGGCCAATATTGCAATAAACATGTATTAATTATATATTTTTTTTACACTTTTATTTTATTAGTTCATGTTAATTATTAAGGTAGAGATATTTTGTTCTTTTCAGCTGATTTATTTCTGCTCCAACATGTAACACAAAAAAACAATAAATATGTTTTTGATCACTTTTGTTTCTTTATAGATCTTTATTATAGGATTGTATATTCTTCCAACACATTCTGGTCTAATCTTCCATGACCAGTCCAAAACACTTTTCCAGGGTCTATACATCTCCCAGGACTGTTCCAGGTTTTCCATGACTGAAGGAACTCTTTAGATTAGAACACGTTTCCCAGCACCAAATACTTTATTAGATTTCATCACAGTGTAATACATGCATTTGGGAAGGCACGGTTGAAAAAAAAAAAACACCCTTCTGACCGCGGGCCGTCTTCACACCCTGTGGCGACGATCCGGTCCACTTGGCCAAGTTCGTTTGTGAAAACCTTACAGTGTCCTTACAGAAAAGTCTTGGGCTGGGTATCTGTCTGAGCCTTCCCATTTGAATCTCTGTCAGAATGGGGCCTTTCTGAGCGGAGTTTGCATGTTCTCAAAGTGTCTGCTGCAATTTCCTCCAGGTGCTCCGGTTTCCTCCATCACTAAAAACATGTCCGTTAGCTTTAATCCTCTAGTCCGACTCCTGACCAAGAGCATCCACGTCTGTAGACAGAGGCCAGATAGAAACTCAGGTGGCTCTCCAGGATGGGTCAAATGCAGAGGACACATTTAAGTACAATAAAGTATACCTTAAAACAAGAGTCAAAATGCTGTCATAGAATTCTTACCAAAAATGTTGAGCGACATGAGCGTGTGTTTCGACCCAAAATCCAGCTTTTAAAAAAGGTTTAAAGCCTTGAATACAGCTCCATCAAACAAATGTTGGTGCCATGTAAAGCACTAATTTTAAAGAGACAAAACACGACACAATATGAAACATGGCTTAGTTAGGAACAAGAAAATTTGACATGTTTAACTTATTTCTACATTTTATAACTGAGATTTCAAGGCAGTTTATTTGTATAGCACAGTTCATACACAATGCAACTCAAAGTGCTTCACAAAACAAGAAAAAAAACATAAAACTCAGAGATAAACACATAGTGAGAATGCACTGCTGTATAAACAATGGGAACACACTGCCACCTAGAGGCCAATCTTTGCACTACATCCTACACCTACAGAAAGAAAGTTGTATGGCATTTTAATACAAAAATATACATTCGAAAAATAATCTAACAAATATAATTTATATGTAGTTTCTTTCAACAGTTTTATCACAGATTAATTCCTATGAGATAGAAAACGTTTTGACAACATTATTAAGCCTAAAAGCTAGGGGACCTAACTTTTTCTCATCAGTAGTACATGCTGTTTATCCAACAGAACAAAATATAATTTTATTTTCTTAAACGTTGCGAACAAATCAGACCACAACATGCAGTCTTCATCTTATCAGAAACCATGTTATTTTCTATGAGTCACTATTTGACGCTGTGAGCCGAGAGCTGATTGGCTGAGTGAGGGTGGTCCTCTCTTTCTCTCTAAAAAAGCTGATGACAAAGGCCCAAAACACATGCTAATAAAAACTACAGAAGCAAACTGTTTTAGGACCGGGAATTAGTGACACGGATTTTATAATAACAGTTCTACTTGTGGTTTGAAAGTTAAGTACCCCAGCTTTAAGTAATTTCACCTTCTTGTTATAAACCGTATTTACAGCAGTAGTACTCATGAGTTACTGTCACCGTGGGTCTCTGGAGACGCAGCGAAAGCCCAGGTTTGAGGCCGTGCTGTCCGGAGTGTTCTGGCTTCTGGCGGCGCACCTGTATCTGTAGCAGTACGACTGAAACGAGAAAAATCGGGGTTCGGTTTTTGATGATATCCAAATATAAACGCCAGGATCACAGGGAGTCCAAAATGGTGAGTGATACACAAACGGTTACTGAGTTAGAGGAGTTTACTTTTCAAATGTAAGTCAATAAGAGCCAGAGCAATTTGGAGCAAAACTTTGTCCATGAGCACTTCCCTATGTGGGCTTCAATGAGCTAGCGCGTTAGCATTGTCCATCTGTATGCAGTCTATGGTCGCTCACCATGTTGACGAGCTTACAAGGTGTAGACCGGTGTCTGCCATTTCTGTTGTGCAAAAGTAGCTATGATATACTTATTGCACTGTTCCTTGTTCTTTTTATTATTGCCTTTTTACAATAATATTTTTTTTATACAGTCTCAGTTCCATTTCATATAAAAAAACGAGAATAATGCAGAATGATATGATCAGATGAGTTTCTGTTTACCTTGTGGCACATGTAGGATCCTCCCTTCTTCACTTTGTCAGAGCCTGATGTGGGACCGGTCTGAAATCAAAATAATCCATTTCTCTTTTTAATATGAAATTAGTCTCATGTATTCATATCCCTAAACCATCTTGTGTCTTAAAAATTATTGAACGATTGAACTGGTTCTCCCCAGGCCCCGACTCGTGGGCTGCATCTCCTTCCTCGCCTGTGATCCTCTTCAGTGCACATTATTCAGTCTTGGTTCTACAGCCTCAGTCTTCGTTCTATAGCCTCAGTCCTGGTTCTACAGCCTCAGTCCTGGTTCTACAGCCTCAGTCCTGGTTCTACAGCCTCAGTCCTGGATCTACAGCCTCAGTCCTGGATCTACAGCCTCAGTCCTGGTTCTACAGCCTCAGTCCTGGATCTACAGCCTCAGTCCTGGATCTACAGCCTCAATCCTGGTTCTATAGCCTAAGTCCTGGAGCTATAGCCCCAGTCCTGGATCTACATGGACCAATGGCTCCAATGCTTTTGTTATTATCACATTTCTTATGTTGAAACTGTTTGATTTTCTGATATTGTCGGTAAATCAACAAATTTGTAAACTCCTAAGAGACGACTGCTGTTGTGAATTAGGTCTGTACACAATTAATATGGATATAATTATTCCTTCTCACCGGGTTTGTCTCGGGGCCGTTGGAGTGGTGCACGGTCCACCAGTCTGAGGTCCACTCCCAGGCGTTCCCCACCATGTCGTACAGACCCAAGCCATTTGGGGGGAAAGACCTCACCTGCAAAGTCACACGCTTAAACACCATCCATCCATCCATCCATTTTCTACCCTTTAATCCATTTCTGGGTCAGGGGGGTGGCAATCAGAGATAACACCCAAGTCTCATAGCACCAGCCCCTCACTGACCCTCTGCAGGTGGTGAGTCCACAGGAGGACGGCTGCTCTCTGAGTGTGAGCATAGCCTTGATCTTTCAGTGGGGGCTTTTGGGCAAAGTGGGGTTAAGTGTCTTGCCCAAGGACACAACGACAGCAGTCATCAGTGGGAGTTGGCTTACAGACAGAGACTAAAGCTCTCGAAACCTGCAATGAGGAGCTCCAAAGTGTGGTCTGATGAAGCTGTGGAAGAGCTGCGCGCATGCATGGAATCTACAGACTGGGACCTTTTCAGAGCTGCCACAGACAGTTTGGATGAATATACGGACACTGTGACGTCATACATCCACTTCTGCGAGGATAGCATCATTCCAACAAGGACCAGGGTCATCTATAACAACGACAAACCCTGGTTCACTGCTAAACTCCGGCAGCTCAGGAAAGCAAAGGAGTCTGCTTTCAGGGAGGGGGACCGCAGCGGCTACAAAGCAGCTAAATATCAGTTCACGAAAGAACTGAAAGCAGCCAAGTCCCGGCACAGAGAACGACTACAGGAGCAGTTTGGTAACAACAATACTGCTTCTGTCTGGAGGGGCCTACGGGAGATCACCAACTACAAACCCAAAGCCCCCCCCTGTGCTGACGACCACAAGCTAGCTGACGATCTGAACTTATTTTTCAGTCGCTTTGATGCTGCCCCTGACACCTCTCCCTCCCCCACCCCCCACTACTCTAACGACCCACCCATCAGCCCTGCCCCCAGCCTAACAATAGCCGCTAAAGAGATTAAACAACTCTTCCTGAGGCTGCACCCCCGCAAAGCTCCTGGCCCGGACCACGTGTCTCCGGCCACTCTGAGACACTGCGCCAGTGAGCTTACTCCTGTGTTCACGGACATTTTCAACACCTCTCTGCAGTCCTGCCATGTCCCGGCCTGCTTCAAATCCTCCATCATTGTCCCCGTCCCGAAGAAGCTCAGGATCACAGGACTCAATGACTACAGACCTGTAGCACTTACGTCTGTTGTCATGAAGTCATTTGAACGCCTGGTTCTCTCCCATCTCAAGTCCCTCACCTCCCCCCTCCTGGACCCCCTGCAGTTTGCCTTCATTAACCTGGCCCTCCACCACATCCTACAGCACCTGGACTCCCCGGGGACCTACGCCAGGGTCCTGTTCGTGGACTTCAGCTCTACCTTCAACACAATCCTGCCATCCCTGCTCCAGGACAAGCTCTCCCAGCTCAACGTGCCCGATTCCACCTGCAGGTGGATCACTGACTTCCTGACGGACAGGAAGCAGCGAGTGCGTCTGGGGAAGAATGTCTCGGACTCTCGGATTATAAATACAGGAGCCCCACAGGGCTGTGTTCTTTCTCCCCTGCTCTTCTCCCTGTACACCAACCACTGCACCTCCAGCCACGACTCCGTGAAGCTGATCAAGTTCGCGGACGACACCACCCTCATTGGACTCATCTCCAACAACGATGAGTCAGGGACAAACAGAGACTACAGCGCATTGTGCGCTCTGCAGAGGAAGTGATCGGCCGCAGCCTTCCATCGCTGCAGGACCTGTACGTCGCCCGAGCTCGAGGCCGGGCTGGTCGTATCACAGCCGACCCCTCTCACCCTGCACATGGACTATTCCAACCACTCCCCTCAGGCAGGAGGCTGCGGTCCATCAGGACTAGAACCTCCCGCCACAAGAACAGTTTCTTCCCCTCTGCTGTTGGACTCTTGAACACTTCTTAACCTGTCCCCCCGCCCTTTATAAAGTCACTTTACTGCCCATCATACGTCACTTTACTTCACTGTACTGCTGTCACCTTACATTGTGTGCACCATGTGCACTTGTATATTGTAAATAGTAACTGTAACTCTATTTTAAATTTAAATTTATTCTTTAGAAGTGTTTTTTATTCTTATTTTTATTATCTCTTTTTGACTGTTGCACTGAGCCAAAGCAATTTCCTAGTCTGTGACCTCCTGTTACTTACGTGGCAATAAAAATGATTCTGATTCTGATTCTGGTGGAGAAGGTGTAGAGGTGGGAATTGAACTCACGACCTTCAGGCCTTAAGGCCAATGCTCTACCAACTGAGCTACTGTCATCTCCTACTGTCGCTTAAACACATGGATTTTAAAACATGTTGTAGTTCAAACTCATAAATAAAGTTTAATCGCAGTCATTCTTCATGTGGGACAAAACATGTCGAAGGATCTCAACTTTTGTTTTTTTCTGGTGTTCACGGTTAGATGGCTCAGAGACAGACTGGCAAAATAGTCGTTTGTTATAGCCTCCGATGGGACAAACTACATGTATCATATATGATACAAAAGTGATGTTTGTGTCTGGAGTTTTCTTACCGGAGCAGTTCTGACAAAGCCGTCCTCTCCGCTGTTCTCGGACGGGAACTCTCCTTGCCACAGGTTTGCGTAGTGTTGTCCTTTTGGGGTCAGCTTGTTCCCCCAGGGGTACAGTCTGAAAGAACAGCACACTTACAGTTTACTTTCAGCAGACGTGGTGTTGGGGTCTGCCGGGTGGACCTCGCACCTGTCCTGGAGCCCTCCTCTGCACGCCATCTCCCACTCGGCCTCTGTGGGGAGCCTCTTCTGCAGCCACGAGCAGTAGGCCGCCGCGTCTGCCCAGGACACGTGCAGCACCGGGTGATCCAGTCTGCCAGAGAAAAGGACACAATGTTTTTCATGTTTGTTAGTTGTAGTTTAAATGCACAGTAGTAATAACTCAGAAACCAAATGATTCATGTCTTCTTCACACTGACATCTTGTGCTAACATAGAACTGCAGTGACTCAAGGGTTCAACCAAACTTCACAGACTCTGTTTCCAATAAAATAAGTTAACAAAATAGTACGCCTGAGATTTGTGATCTTGATAAAGCTAGACTTTTCAGACTAAGATTTACATTAAAACACATCAATCAGCGGATTTTTACCATCTAAAAACAGAATCCAAGCTATAGTGTCTAGAGCAGACTTGGAGATTATTTTCTCCAGTAGATTCACCTACAGTAAAGGCTGCTCACAGGTCTCTCCAAACTAGCTCTAAAACAGCTGCAGTAGATTCAAAACCCTGCATCTCAAGTCCTGACTAGAATCAGGAAGTACGATCACATTAGTCCTGGTCGCAGCACTTCCTATGACTCTGAGAATAGCCTTTAAAGCAGCTCTGCTTGTGTTCAAGTCTCTCCATGGCCTCGCACCAAAGTACATTAGTGGCATGTTAGTGCCATATGAACCAGCCCGGACTCTGAGGAGCACAGGGACTGGACTCCTGCTGGTGCCCAGAGTCAGGACTAAACATGGGGAAGCAGCGTTTCAGATTCATGCTGCTAAAATCTGGAGAAGTCTTCTACTTTAACAATGTTCAAATCCAGGTTAAAACAGTTAGTTTTAGCTGTGCATACAACTGAAGGATTGCATCTTTACTATTTTTAATGCGCTGTGATTATTTTTGTTGCTCTGTGTATGAATTGTGCAACACAAATAAACCAGCCTTGCCCTTGAAAAAAAAAGGACATCCTATTAAAGCTTCCATTTTCAGACCTGTAGTATTAAAGCGTATATATATATTTACCGGTCCATAATGTCCGAGTCTTTCCCCTCTGGGTGTCTCCAATCGGCCCCTTTCACCGGCAGCCACCAGGGGGCAGCAGCCACCTACAAAAAGTAAGTAAGTAAGTAAGTTTTATTTATATACCGCCTTTCACAGACCAGAGTCACAAAGCGGTTTACAATTGTTATTTTTGGGCACTTGTGCTCTCACTCCACACAGAGATGGAGCGGGGTCGCCGAACAGGAGGCGCATGCCAGACCTATTGTACCTACGCAGACACGGGGAGAACATGCAAACTCCACTCAGAAAGGCCCTGGTCCGACCGGTATTCGAACCCAGGACCTTCTTGCTGAGAGGCAAGAAGGTGGCGAGAGTGCTATCCACTCAGCCACCGTGCCGCCCAAAAACACACCACACCATGGATCTATAATAATATCACACCATTTCAACTCTGCAGCTGATCACACACACTTTTAGCACTGTTCCGGTGTGTTTTCATTTCACAAGAGGAATTCAAGCCTTAAAAGGCATCGTATTCATAATTGAATAATCTACAACCTTTATACGTGTCCCCAGATAACAGGTCAACCGGTGAATTAAGGCTGTAATTAACGATAATATTTTAGAATCATCTGAGTCATAAAACCTCTTCTCAGCATCTTAAAAAAAAGGTCCTGGGTCTGAAACAGGGCACAGAGTGGCGTTTTTTTAAGTGTCTATGTAGGTTTCCTGCAGGTGCTCCGGTTTCCCCTCCCAAAAGCATGTGCAATAGGCAAAAACCCTAATGCTAAAATACTTACGGCTTGACTTATTTCGCTCTTTACAGCCTCACTCAAAATCCCTTCAAAGACGAATGAATCTCCAAACTTTTCTGCCTGCAACACAAGAGTCCACTCCTCAACATGAGCAAGACATAAACAGCAATGGAAGAAACAAGAACGATGAGAGGATAATGAGTTAAAACAACGATGATGATCCAATGTTCTATTTAAAGATCGGCCACAGAGCTCATTGTGAAGGAGGACAAAGAAAAACTCCAACTCAAAGTGTGTTTTTGATGAACACTTTTGTAGCCAAGTAAAAAGGATCAGCTTAATAAAATGTGTCCTGTTAAAGTAGGGGTCCGCCTCTTCAGTTCATCAGACTGGTCCAATCAAAAGATTTCTGACAAATGTTAGTTTTTTTTACACCAGTTATATCAAATTGAATTCATCTATAATGTTTTTAGTCACGTTTCTTATGAGTTAGAACTGGTGAATATGAAGTATTTATAAATGTGACTGAAATACAGCCAAAACAGTTTGTTGAAAAGCTAAATGCTAACTGCTGTCCAGTAAAGAACCGGTCCAAAACCAGTCCAGGACCAGCTCCTTGGAGAAAAGAGCTACTTACAATTTAAAAATTAAAGGATAACTTCATAAAAGTAACTCCATAGACATGAACTACATCGAGTAAGTGACAAAAAAACAAACAATTACACTTCCAAAACGAAAAGCCGTCAATTTGACTGCTCTGGAGTTCTAGTGTAAAAGTAATACCTCTGTGATGTGTCCGGTCGCGTTGACAAAGGTCCAGAACTGTTGGTTGGTGACTTCCTGGACGTCCATGTAGAAAGTCTGGATGTGGACCGGTCTCTGAGGGCCCTCTCCGTCTGCGGGGATCCCAGGACTGTCGGTGCCCATGAGGAACTGTCCCCCAGGAACCATCGCCATCTGAAGCAGAGCCAGAGGACCACTGATCCAGGACACTTTCAAATGGTCGTCAATAACAACAGAGACGTGAGCCAATCCCAAATAAAGTACATGTGGCTTAGGGGAAGAAGGTTACACACTTAGACACTCATGACTTTGCATAATGACGGCGTAACGAGCCGTGGAGCTGTGGTTGGGTGAAACAAGCTCGCACTGTCGTTGCTTTATAAAGTTGTCCTTGTCTGGTCTGACTCTCTGGTCTGACTCTCTGGTCTGACTCTCTGGTCTGACTCTCTGGTCTGACTCTCTGGACTCTCTCTCTGGTCTCTCTCTCTGGTCTCTCTCTCTGGTCTCTCTCTCTCTGGTCTCTCTCTCTGGTCTCTCTCTCTGGTCTCTCTCTCTGGTCTCTCTCTCTCTGGTCTCCCTCTCTGGTCTCCCTCTCTGGTCTCTCTCTCTGGTCTCTCTCTCTGGTCTCTCTCTCTGGTCTCTCTCTCTGGTCTCTCTCTCTGGTCTCTCTCTCTGGTCTCTCTCTGGTCTCTCTCTCTGGTCTCTCTCTCTGGTCTCTCTCTCTTCCAAATCACTTCATAAAATAGTTTCATGGTCAGAACAATAGTTTCCTCAAGGCTGAGAACTGGGGCCTGTCTCTGAAGAGCAACAATCTCCATTATCAACAAGAAACATGAAGGACGAGCTCAAAATATCTGCACGAAAAGGACTTCAGTGATCCGCCCAGAAGGGACAGTGACTGGGGGAGTGAGGGCGGGTTTACAAGAGACCGTTTATAAAATAATTAAACATGCGGAGGAATTTAGAAGCATTGCTAACCACAACGAGTGAATGAACTTAGGAGCCTGGCTATCCTCAATTTAATAATGAACTAAAAAGAATAGCTAACAACAATGAATGATAACTCGGAAGCATGGCTAGCCACAATGTATGAATGAATGAGCTTAGACGCATGGCTAGCCACAAAGAATGAATGAAAGAAGTTATAAGCATGGCTAACCACAATGAGTGAATTAAATTAGAAGTATGCCTAACCTCAATGAAATAAAGAATGGAGTTAGAAGCATGGCTAACCACAATGAGTAAATTAACTTGGAGGTATACCTAACCTCAATGAAATAATTAATGAAGTAGAAGCATGGCTAACCCCAGTGAATGACTTGTGTTAATTGCTGTTAGGAGGAGAAAGTTCAGATTTTTTTTTTTTTAAACTGGAAGAGTAAAACTGAAAGTTGTCTGAAATACATGGTTAAGTAAAGTACAGAAACTAGGAGCAAAAACTCAAGTACTTGCCACGTCTGCACGACCGTAACATCCCTCTAAACGTAATATACAGTCTATGCTCTAAACCCAAATCTCACCTCACTTCCACCCGGGTCAGGCCTCGTCTCCCCGGTCTTTCCGTCGTTCACACTTGCTGAATACTTCACCGCTGGAGCTGCTGTCCCGTCCCCCCTCTCCCCCAGTGAAGCCTCCACACCAGCGGCTCTCTTCAGTTTCCCACATCCGCAGCTCGATGCCTCCGACTGGGCATGACTCTGTGCATCTGCCCCGCATAAAGCCTCCAGACAGAGCCCGGTGTGGGCGAAGGACAAGCCCAAGACTACGAGGGAAACGCGGATAAGGGTCCTTATCACGGTTCGGTCTCTGCGGTCTGTCATGCTGCTGCCGCTGCTGTTGTTGTTGTTGTGGTACTTCCGCATTGTCACGTGGTCCGTCAGCTAAGGGAGGGGTTAACTGTTTCTTACCCAGAGCCGAAAAAAGCTAAAGCTAAATTAAAAAAAATAAATTTATTAAATACAATTAAATACAAATACATGTAAAACAAATTTAAATACAGTTTTAGTTAAGAACGAAATAAAGAACACACTCATTGAACAGTTTGCATTATTTTCTCCAACTGCAGAAAAAAAGTTTAATTTGATCAATTAGGTGATATTGGATCATTTCCAAAGGCACTCTCATGGTCCATGGCCCTGGTTGAAAAACACTGCTCTACTCCACGATTATATCAGTTAATAAGTTAAAGGTAATAAGTGAATTAGTGTTTTCCTGGTGAAGGGTCCACTTTCAGCTCGGGTTCATCTGTTGCCTGGAATGTTCCACAATATGGAAAATATGGACGTCTTTATCTCAACTCACTTTTAATAAGTGATCAAAGTGGTGAATACAGCAAAAACAGTTTGATGAAAGGCTACCACAAGTAAGAAGTATATATGGTAACGAGTATAGGCCACCAGACAGCTATTATACATTCATAAAAGATAATTCTATGAAAACACCGGGAGAACATGCAAACTCCTCTCAGAATGGCCCTGTCTGGAGGTGCCAAAATAACATGTATTGTCATTGTATTGTACAAAGCTGTTTCAGCTTGCCTTTCCTTAAAGCAGCAGTAAGCGATTTGGTCGTTTCCGGCAGTTTCTTCTGCCTGAGCGAGTTAGTAGCCCCGCCCCCGTCCCTACGTCACACCACATGAACGCGCATCGTGTTGGTGATGGCAGCAGCACGTTCATCTCCGTCAGGTCTACTCGTAAGTATATTAACAACAAACTCTGGGAGTGAAATATTAGCATAGAATAGCTCAGTTGTAACCTAGCTATAACACTGGAAGCAGCTTGGTGTTAGCTAGGATAGCATCACTAAGAAAGAGATAAAAACAATCCAGTCTTTTATAGAATAATACTGCTTTTATAGTTGGTACACTGATAACTGTTGTGATAAACATAATGTTGCAGATTGCAGTGTGACGTGTCTCAACATTATGCACTGTAACATCTGTTACAGTGCATATGTATTAGATGAATGTAATGCATATACATTACAACAACAAAGCTTTACATGAAGGTTATTTAAAGTAATACATTACTGCTTTCCTCACAATTTGTATATTTGGAGTTCTTTATAGACAACACTGTAGTAATGTATTATGTGAAAGTAAAGCTGCATCTCACTGGAAGCTGCCTTCTCAATGTCACAAAATAAAGATACATTTATTGATGTAATCAACATCTGTATTATGTGCTTACTGTTCAGAGAATGAAGACAAAATCAAAGTGTATCAGAGCTGTACAGTGAGATGTGGGACTGAAAAACAATTCCAGTAAAGCTTGTCCGAAACGCAAAAGTACTGTCATAACTAATTACGTTACACTATTACACTGTAAGGAAACTCACCACTTTGAAAGAAAAGCTACAAGTAACAGAATATATAAAGTCATTTGTCATAACGGTTCTTTCAGGAAGCACTGAACGCCCTCTGTCCAGAGAAGCTGATGACCAGATCCTTTCCCTGGTGCGTCTGTGAAAGGTGCCAACAGACATTGAAAACGTGCTTTCCTCAGCGGCCCCCATGGTGCACGTCCACTCTGCAGTTCTGAAATATGTTTGTAGTTGTACTATTTCAAAATAAAAAAAAATACATCCACCTCTTTCAATGTGCTTTGTTTTATAGTAGGAAAACAAATACAGTCTGTAACGAGTCTAAGAAACTTTATTATGTAAAAGAAGATTTGAAGTTATAGCCGGAAAAATATACACAATGTCCCTACTAAGACAAATAATTACAAGTGATGGTAAGGCAACGTTTGTGTTATCACTTTTTGCTCAAATGAATAACACTGTTATTATCCAGGTCCTTATCCATCGCTGCTGCCAGCGAACACTATCAGAGATATCTAACAAAATGTTAATCTTTATGTTGTAGCTTGTTTGAACACATTTCCTCAAAATAATTCATAAGCAGCCACGCACACACAGCCACAAGCACACACAGCCACAAGCACACACAGCCACAAGCACACACAAGCACACACAGTCACAAGCACACACAAGCACACACAGTCACAAGCACACACAAGCACACACAGTCACAAGCACACACGCACACACAGCCACACGCACACACAGCCACACGCACACACAGCCACGCTTCAGGGGCCCAGGTTGAAAGAACTGGAGTCTTCCTCTGGCAGAGATTTTCCTTTGAAACATAATAGAAGAGACATCAGTTTTATCTACTCAAATATGACTTTGAAATATTCATCATCAACAACATCAGTATTTATTGATCACCAGGAGTGGCCCCTGATCCACAGGATCCTTGAACATGTTTATTTGGACTGTGAGAGACTGTGCATTGTGAGAGAAAGACACTTACATCGGCTGTTTTGGGAGTCGAGTGATTATCTCACTCCTCTTGATTGTTGAAGAAACTCAGCGACAGTTTTGTCAACACTGACTCCTGGAACATGATCGATATTCATTTTGGACCTCAGGGCAGCAACACAACTGTAGGGATGAACGACACACACATCACAACATCATTATCATAATCACTGCGTCCCATATATGCATTCACAACAACCTACATGACAAATGTGGGGTGTAAAGTCTTCCTCAGGAGATGACAATGGCCGATCTTCTAATTCTGGAAGCAAAGTCTTGTCTTCGCAGTCAATACTAGAGAAAGAAGAGGTCAGCAGAAAAGTATCTAGTCGTTATGGCATTGTTTTTTTTTTTAATAGTTATTTAACTTGCATTATGGAGGCTTTTGAACTCTTGTACATTGAAGACCTCATTCCAATTGATTTAGGCCATACTGGAAAAGATACAGAGAAAAGAATGCAATGAAGACATGTAAATTATTACAATGTCTATATTATATCATGCTCATAATTTATTTGGTAGTAGTCAGCAAGACTCTTACTTATTCTCAATACATAATAATAAAAATGTATGTAGTGGTCACGGAAGTTAGATTTCAGGTAAAGAGATATTGTTTTTATAACAATAAAACTAATATACAGAGTGCAAGTTGAAAAACGTAGTCATTGAAGAATGAAATGCAGACCTACATATATATATAGTGCAAGCAACTATGTTTATTGGCAAAAACAAACGATTCATACAGATCAGAAGTGTTCGTAGCAGCCACATCATATTCACAACTACAGACAGCTAATGCTAACAGCTAACGCTAACAGCTAACGCTAATGCTAACAGCTAACGCTAATGCTAACACCACTTCACGGGGGAACTCTGGTGATATGGTCATTTAATTTTGTACATGTGGGGAACTAATAATTGACCGGAGTTTATGGATGGCTGAGGCTGGGCTAAGGCTTCGATGTTGTGTTGTCTGTTGTTGTTTCTCAAAGCTAAGCCAAGGTAATGCGCAGTTATTGCCACAAAATGCGGCCGTATTTCTACAACAGCTGGGGATTTTTAACTAGCTAACTTGGTGAAAGCCCGCATTACAGTCTCAGGCAACAATATGTATAAATAATACAACTACTACTGCCACTACTGAGTAACATGCTCACCTGTTCAGTCGGAGAGAGGAATCCACGGAGCTAGAGGTCACCAACATGAATGCAGCTGGTCACCATGTTGCTCATACTTTTTGTCGTTCCTCTGTTTCTGGCGTTTTGCCTGTATTTAATAGATCCATGGTATTTAGTCTGCAGCAGCGCTGGAGGCAGCTTTTCCTTCTCCGCCATGTTTGTTTTGAAGAGTGCGCGTGCACACACGGGAGAAACCCCTTATAAGGCGTGCTCTCTCGTCATTGGATAAGCGCATAGGATGTGAGGTTTTTTTATTAAATATGTGGGAGAAGACTGGAAGGACTGAGAGATCCGTGTTTAGGTACAAACACTCTATATAAGTGATGGCTATTGGAATATATCAATATTTAAGACGTATATTAACACCCAAAAATCGCTTACTGCTGCTTTCCTTAATTTTGTTTTTCAATGTTTATTTCTATGTGTTTTGTAAAGCGTCTTTGAGTGTCCAAAAAAGCGCTATATAAGTTTGATGCATTATTATTACTATTATTATTATTATTATTATTATTATTATTTTATGCATACTTTTCTACTTGCATTTGTATATTGAATATAGTATTAATTGTAATAATTATATTTTTTTTATATTTTATGAATGTATTTTGATTCTTACAATGCCTTACTCTATTCTCTTAGAGTCTTGTTTGCATCGAGAGCCAAACCAATTTCCCAATGTGTGACTTCCTGTTACTTATAAGGCAATAATTCTGATTCAGATTGTAACATTGAGCCGCTCGAGGTAGACTCAAACTTGCAGTTCATGCGAGGCAGCCCAAGAATTTAAACCAAAATGTACATGAGCAGTAATTACACTTCTTCTGGAACGCATTTGACGTACTGATTTCAGCTTTAAGGATTCAGTCAACTAAATAAAAGTATACTTTAAATGTTGTATCTTTTGTGTAAGCTATAGTAACCGAGTAATGTCAATAGTAATGATCATCACTAATGTTTTCGATTAGAGAGCAACATACGGACACAAAACACACAAATACAAAAGACTTGAATCCAATTTATCTTACATTTTTGGTTTCCCTGGTGACGCTCGTAGGCGCACTCATTGGAACATCATTTCCCAGACACCAGTGCGTCCGTGCGCAGCCAGGAGGAGGACAGCGTCTGCGAGAGCGAAGCATAGCCGACCAGCGGGCTCAGGCAGGCGGCTAACTCAGCTGCCATCCCCCGCTCTACACCCTCTACCCGCCCACCCTGGAACTACCACCACCACCACCACTACCAGAGCAGCAACAGCGGCGATCGGACCTCCTCACAACCGGGGAAAGAGGCGAGACATGCCCGCTACGTGGTCCTCCGTGCGCCGTTGATCCACTGGAACATCCGAGAGGTTTTACGCACGACAAGCGAGGTAAAAAGTGCAAGTTTTAATCACTTACTTTTTTATTTTTTACTACTTTAGTAACTACGCATTACATCTTCGTCTTTTGCGTTAGGAGGAATTCAGTGTCCAAACTTCACTTTTTTCGCAATGTCACTGCTTTCACTTTTTTACTTTTTATACTTAAAGAAACAAACCATATTCAGTGACTTTTGTTTCATAAATAACACATGCAGCTTGTCTCATCAGAAAGAGTCTATGAAACTTAAATGTTGTGAACAAATCAGACCACAACCTGCTGCCTTTACCTTTGCTGTGTTTTGCAGACTTTGCAGAACCCAGTGAGTAACTATTTGATACTGAGAGCTGAGTGAGGGGGTTCTCTCTTTTTCACTTTTCTTTCTGAAAAAAGCTGATCTAAAGATGTGACAAAGGCCAAACATACATGCACGTGACAACTAGTGATAGAAGCAAACTGTTTTGAGAAAGAGAAATTCATTACATAGTTTAAACTATTGTGGTTTTATATTTAGGTACCCCAGCTTTAATACTAGTACACTCTTTGGTCGAAACGGAGTTAACAAGGCATTTATAGCAGTTGTTACAATACAGTTAAAATTCTGTTGTGGTGCCACCTGCAAGTGAAAAGCCAGATCCTGTCAGACCTCTGAAGCTAGGCAGGACAGGGCCTGGTTAGTACTGTGATGGGAGACCTTTGGGAACACCAGGTGTGGCAGCGGTTAGAGGTAGTGGGGCAGCTATGGCTGTATAGTGCCAAACTGTCATTGTGTCCTTGGGCAATACATTTCACCCAAATTACCTAGAATGAGTCTGGTGTGTGTGTGAATGGCTGGTGGTGGTCAGAGGTTGTCCCACTTTTGCCAGTGTGCCACAGGGCAGCTCTGGCTTCAGTTTATCACCAATGTGTATGGAGTGAGCGAAGCGTCTTTGAGCTTCGAGAAAAGCACTATGTAAAACTGAGGCATTATTATTATGTATTTTAGTTTAATGACATACCACATAGGTTATAAGATAGGCCAACAGTATTATTGTTAAGTGACATATTGTTGTTGTATTTTGTGTGGCTTTAATCCAGCTCGTCTTTGCACACACTCGCAGTTTCTGTTTTGTTTATGTAACTTGTCCCCTGCTCTCACAGACGGCCTTTGTGCCTCCTCTTTCCCACACTCTGCACCTGCGACTGCTGCAGGTGCACTGTCCACCGTGTCATATGTCTAATATTAACTAGACCAGGGGTGTCCAAACATTATAGTAATATGGCCACTTTAGTTTTGTCTTATTTCCCTACCACTACGCTCTGGACTTTCCTGCGTGATCTTTGCCACTCGTATTTACTTATTTTGAATATTCATTCTAACGGCACACACCTTTTAGTCAAATTAGCAACCGCGGTGGGAGCCCTGTCTGTCCACACGGGAAACTCGACTCCAGCAAAATGTTTTCTCTGCAGAATGGGACCAGGTCTTTGCTAGTCTCAAGTCAGAGTACAGTCCAAATTCTGAGGCCCTTAACGGTCCGAGTCCAGACAAATGTACAGATATGGATCACAATTAGACATTATGGTTAAACTACTAATCAATCAATCAAAATGAATTTCTACAGAATGTTCATACAGAAAGTTCATACAGAATGCAAACCATCGTGCTTCACATTGACAGCATTTAAAACCAACAGTCAGTAAATTAAAGAACACTGTAAAACACATAAAGCCACACCTTAGGGTCCCCTTCCTGATGATGATCAGTCATGGACACAACTAAAAGAACCATTTTCAGCCTGGACTTGTCATGGTGTGGATTTTATTTTTGTAATTTTATTTTATTTTGAAATTGGTCTTGTGGTTTGGTTTTAGTTTTGCTTCCTGTCTTGTTCCCCAGTCTTGATTGTCTGCCCCGCCCTGATGTGTTTCACCTGTGTCTCTGTGTGTCTATATGTACCCTGTGCTTCTCTCCCCTTGTTGCTAGTCCATTGTATTGTCAACTTCTGTTCTGTCCTGTTCCTGGTTCTGTGTTTTGGACTTGGAGTTATGTTTTCACCTGGACTTTTATTTTATTAAATCATTCTTTTGCATTCCTGCATTTGAGTCCTCCATCATCTCACCATGTGACAGAATGGACTAGCCACTAATGGACTCAGCGGATTGCCTTTTTTCCCACAAGGTTTTTTATTTATTTTATTTATTTTTTTTGTGCCGATTGCCTTCTTCGCTGCCTACCTCTTACACCTGTTACCTGGAACCACCGCCAGGCAAGAAACTCCGCCTGGGGTGGTTATTCATCTTGCACCACCGCCGGGCATTGATGTCCGTCCGGGGTGGTCCTTTGTTCCCTCTGCCCGTCCTGCTGAGAGGTAGCCAGTGGAGTTGTGCACCGGTCTTCACATCCTCAGTCTGCTGCTCAATGGTGACCTGTCCTTCCCTTGACTCTTGCCGCCGCCAGACATTACCTCCGTCTGGGGTGGTTCTGCCCCCAGCCTGAGTCACCGCCGGGCATATGTCTTCGTCCGGGGTGAGCCAGCTCCTTCACTCTCCAGACCCTCGGGAAGGTCGCCACTGGACTTTAGCTCCTGTCCCTGATCGGTTCCGTACCACTGACCTGTCTCTGGCCCATCCTCCAGACCCCCGCCACCCTCCCTGGCTCGTGTTTTTGTTTTTTGGGGACATCTGGGAGCTGTCCCTTGGAGTGGGGGTACTGTCATGGTGTGGATTTTATTTTTGTAATTTTATTTTATTTTGAAATTGGTCTTGTGGTTTGGTTTTAGTTTTGCTTCCTGTCTTGTTCCCCAGTCTTGATTGTCTGCCCCGCCCTGATGTGTTTCACCTGTGTCTCTGTGTGTCTATATGTACCCTGTGCTTCTCTCCCCTTGTTGCTAGTCCATTGTATTGTCAACTTCTGTTCTGTCCTGTTCCTGGTTTTGGATTTTGAGTTATGTTTTCACCTGGACTTTTATTTTATTAAATCATTCTTTTGCATTCCTGCATTTGAGTCCTCCATCTCACCATGTGACAGGACTTGAATATAGCTCGGTTATAGCGGCCTGTCTCACTCCTTCAGGAAGAAACGGACTTTTTGTGAATAGTTTAAATTAAATGTATAAGATTATATAGAGCTGAGTGTTTATTTATGCCGTTACAATACCAATCTATACTTTCAATTCAACACAATATATTTTTAAATGAGTCAATATAATCCTGGACATTTTTAAAGGCTCTTGTCCAATGCTCCGCCACAATTTTCATAAAAAAATCACAACATTATTGATGCATTCACATTCAAATTCCATTTATTTGTGTATCGCCCTAAATCACAACAGCAGTCGCCTCGAAAGTCTGTACATAGTTGTCGATTCACCAATAACAGATCAGAGAATCAAACTGTTCGAACATAGGAAATGCAATAATAAAGGCATAGAAGCATTGGTCCATATTGAGCAGGATGACCATTATTCAGAAATGTCAACAAATGTGCATCGGCAAGGAACAATTAAAAAAGGGGTTCTTTTGAATATTCATTAATTAATATTTAATTACATGCCTATTAACTTTTTCCTGGCTACAAAATAGTTTGCTTCTAGTCTTCACATAGATGTATTTTTGGCCTTTTTCAAATCTTTAGATAAGCTTTTTCTGACAGAAAGTGAAAAAAAGAGAGGACCACACTCACTCAGCCAATCAGCTCTTAGCCCAAAAAGTCAAATAGTGACTCACAGGGACCCCTCTTAAAATAACATGTTTTCAAGACAGCCTGTTGTGGTCAGATTTGTTCACATAATTTTACTTGTACAAGCTACTTTCTGTTGGGACAAGCTACGTGTCATGAAAATAAAAAAAAGTCCTGTCTAGAGGGTTAGGGCTATTGGTCAAAAGATTGTGAGAATTGAACAACATTAACATCTGTGTGATAGAAAGCCTGAGGGAAGTGCTCCAGTGCTTTCATTCTTGTAAATCCTTTGTGACTCTCAGTCTGTGAAAGGCGCTAAATGAATAAAAATGACTTTCTGTCTGTTGTGTCTCAGTGCTCCAGGCGTCTGAGAACCATGTCGGATAAGATGTCCAGCTTCCTGCACATCGGGGACATCTGCTCCCTGTTCGCAGAGGGGTCCACCAGCGGCTTCATGAGCACTCTGGGGTGAGTCTGCTGCTGAGCTGTGTTTCATAGCCTGTATACAGAGGGGGCGACAGTAGCTCAGTTGGTAGAGCATTGGCCTTAAGGCCAGAAGGTCGTGAGTTCAATTCCCACCTCTACACCTTCTCCATCGACTCCCACTGATGACTGCTGTCGTTGTGTCCTTGGGCAAGACACTTAACCCCACTTTGCCCAAAAGCCCCCACTGAAAGATCAAGGCTATGCTCACACTCAGAGAGCAGCCATCCTCCTGTGGACTCACCACCTGCAGAGGGTCAGTGAGGGGCTGGTGCTATGAGACTTGGGTGGCATCTCTGACTGCCACCCCCCTGACCCAGAAATGGATTAAAGGGTAGAAAATGGATGGATGGATGGAATTCTAACAAGCTAGCTCAATGAAGCCCAATAGGGAAGTGCTCATGGATGAAGTTTTGCTCCAACTCTAATTTACTTATATGTAAATAAGTATACTCCTCTAGCTCAGTAACTGTTTGTGTCACTCTCACAATTTTGGTTTTAAAAAATCTGGTTTAGCGCTCTCTGTGATGGTGTTTACATTTTGATATTGTCTTTGTGAATTCAGATAAGAGCCGTGTAAGGATTGACCAATCAAATGCCTTCATCCACGGGGGAAATTCCAGCTTGACTTAGCAAACATGCGGGCAGACTGTAGATCCAGGACTGATGCCGTAGATCCAGGACTGAGGCTGTAGATTCAGGACTGAGGCTGTAGATTCAGGACTGAGGCTGTAGATCCAGGACTGATGCCGTAGATCCAGGACTGATGCCGTAGATCCAGGACTGATGCCGTAGATCCAGGACTGATGCCGTAGATCCAGGACTGATGCCGTAGATCCAGGACTGAGGCTGTAGATTCAGGACTGATGCCGTAGATCCAGGACTGAGGCTGTAGATCCAGGACTGAGGCTGTAGATCCAGGACTGAGGCTGTAGATCCAGGACTGAGGCTGTAGATCCAGGACTGAGGCTGTAGATCCAGGACTGAGGCCGTAGATCCAGGACTGAGGTCGTAGATCCCGGACTGAGGCCGTAGATCCCGGACTGAGGCCGTAGATCCCGGACTGAGGCCGTAGATCCCGGACTGAGGCCGTAGATCCCGGACTGAGGCCGTAGATCCCGGACTGAGGCCGTAGATCCCGGACTGAGGCCGTAGATCCAGGACTGAGGCCGTAGATCCAGGACTGAGGCCGTAGATCCAGGACTGAGGATGTGAGACAGGAAGGGAGGTGCAGCCCATAAGTCCGAGAGGAGGCCAGTTCACAGGTGAAGATGAAAGGGGTCCCTTCATCACACCATGAAAAAGACAATGAAACAGCGGGTGAATAGCAATGAATAGACTACTGCTTAAGTCACAATTATAACAGAAAAAAGTAGGAGAGAGGAGGGGATTATGCTTTTTGATGCAAATGCTTAAAAAAGAATAAAATCTATAATCTAAAGATTGTTGATCCCCTTGACATTCAGTCACTGTAACTATCATCACAACAAAGTGTCGACATTACAGTAGATAAAATTCTCTTTAGGGCTTATCTGTGTGGAGTAGGCCTGTTTCTTCCTGTGACCTTTCCTTCTGATCTAAAAGCAGAGAATTGTTTGTTAAATCTTGAATCAAAGTTTGTCAAAACATGAATTTGCAGAAAAGTAAATGCTGCTGATATAGAAGTGTTTGGGCTTGAATGAACTGGAGCAGAACTGAGAGAAAATGAGCAGTTATGTATTAGCACCTCTGTTTGTGACTCGCCCACTCACAGCATCAGCACAGAGCTCCGACCAGCCACAGAGACAACACAGAGACAACAGAGAGACGACACAGACAACACAGAGACAACAGAGAGACAACACAGAGACAACAGAGAGACAGCACAGAGAGACGACACAGAGACGACTCAGAGACGACACAGAGAGACGACACAGAGAGACGACACAGAGAGACGACACAGAGAGACGACACAGAGACGACACAGAGAGACGACACAGAGAGGACACAGAGAGACGACACAGAGACGACACAGAGAGACGACACAGAGAGACGACACAGAGACGACACAGAGACGACACAGAGACGACACAGAGACGACACAGAGACGACACAGAGACGACACAGAGACGACACAGAGACGACACAGAGACGACACAGAGACGACACAGAGAGACGACACAGAGACGACACAGAGACGACACAGAGACGACACAGAGAGACGACACAGAGACGACACAGAGACGACACAGAGAGACGACACAGAGACGACACAGAGACAACACAGAAAGACGACACAGAGAGACGACACAGAGAGACGACACAGAGACGACACAGAGAGACGACACAGAGAGACGACACAGAGACGACACAGAGACGACACAGAGACGACACAGAGAGACGACACAGAAAGAGGACACAGAGACGACACAGAGAGACGACACAGAGACGACACAGAGAGACAACACAGAGACGACACAGAGAGACGACACAGAGAGACGACACAGAGAGACGACACAAAAGAGACAAGACACACAGAGAGACGACACAGAGAGACGACACAGAGAGACGACACAGAGAGACGACACAGAGACGACACAGAGACGACACAGAGACGACACAGAGAGACGACACAGAGAGACGACACAGAGAGACGACACAAAGAGACGACACAGAGAGACGACACAGAGAGACGACACAGAGAGACGACACAGAGAGACGACACAGAGACGACACAGAGAGACGACACAGAGAGACGACACAGAGACGACACAGAGACGACACAGAGAGACGACACAGAGAGACGACACAGAGACGACACAGAGACGACACAGAGACGACACAGAGACGACAGAGAGACGACACAGAGACGACACAGAGAGACGACACAGAGACGACACAGAGACAACACAGAAAGAGGACACAGAGACGACACAGAGACGACACAGAGAGACGACACAGAGACGACACAGAGACAACACAGAAAGAGGACACAGAGACGACACAGAGACGACACAGAGTGGTGCTCAGTGTGGTTCAAACAAGACTGCACCATCCACAAAATATACTATCTCAACGTTTTCGTGAAAATCTGCAAGAAATATTCCATTTCTGTCAACGTAGATTTGCAGGTTTGCGTCCTAGGCTGCGACGCGGTCGCTGTTGTAAATAAACCGGTGTGTGCAACATGGATCTCACAGCTACTGTAAATAGAGAAAGAGCTGATAAGAATTGAGGATTCAAGGAAGAATGAACAGAATGATTTTCTTCCATTGTCAATGAGGAAGGATTGCCACATGTTTGCTTCGTAATGAGAAGTTGTCAAACAACTGAAAGTATCAGTTGGAAAGACATTTCCAGGGAGGGCATGTTAAGTTTGCTGCCGACTGCTCAGTTAGGAGTGAGAGAAACATCGGCAGTTCTTCTAGAGTGGATTCATCTCCATTTGGCTACTGCTGAAGTTTTGTTGCAACCCGAGGAATAATAAAGCAAAACACCCTTCATAAAGAGTGATTACATGAAGGATTCATTCATGGCAATATCAGACTTTTTCAGACTTCAAAAACCAAGATAATGCAGACAATTAAAGACATGCCTCTTTCCGCGAACGATATCAAACAAACAGTGCTGTTATGCAGGTACAGTTTGTAAACTTGAAGCCAAAAGTCAGATATATTTACTGTATTTAACCAATTTATCAATGCAACAAAACAAGCTGCAGAGAAAATAAACATCGAATAGAGTTTTCATTAGAATGTAACCCATTGTGTTAGCATTGGCTTTGTATTGTTAGTCTCACTTTATCATTTGTTCATCATATTACATTAATTAGCATGTTCCAACTCGGGTTTGTGGTTATGTTGTGGTTAGGGCGGCAGTAGCTCAGTTGGTAGAGCGTTGGCCTTTGAGCCAGAAGGTCGTGGGTTCAAGCCCCGCTCAAGACTTTCACCATCGACTCCCACTGACTACTGTTGTTGTGTCCTTGGCAAGACACTTAACCTCTGGGAACACCAGCCACAGTGGGGCGGCTGCGGCTGTAAAGTGCCAAACTGCCGTTGTGTCCTTAGGCAAGACACTTCACCCCCATTGCCTAGAATGAGTCTGGGGTGTGTGTGAATGGTTGGTGGTGGTCAGAGGGGCCGATGGCACATACTGGTTGCCTCGCTTCTGTCAGTGTGCCCCAGGGCAGCTGTGGCTACATTAGTAGTTTATCACCACCGTGTTTGGAGTGAATGAATAATGACACATGTGAAGCGTCTTTGAGTGTCCAAAAAAGCGCTATATAAAACCGATGCATTATTATTATTATTATGTTTAAAAATATATCAATTCATCTTTAAGTGTTTGCTTTAAGTTTTAGTATTCATGGATTCCAATACAATAATACAAGAGGGCTTTCGTTTCCACGGCAACACAATCTTCCCATTCCATGATGGTTCCGGAACTGTATGACATCATCGATCTGATCTGGCCTTAAGTCTGTGTGTGTGAGCAAGATCCAGATTCAGCTACAGGTTTTAGAAAGACGAGACACGGTTTATTGATCGAGCTTCTAAAGCATAGCAACATTAGTAATTTCAACTCAACTTAACAAACTCAGTATTGTTAAAATGGCTGCGACTAACAATCACAAAATGTATTGGAGGAAGAAGATCGACGTTGGCTACAAAAACGAGATCTGTGAGGTGTTTGAGCTAGCTGCCAAACATTATTTTGAAGCTAAGTATGTTTACGAAGAACAAGAAGGCCCCATTCATGATGCAATCTTCACAGTTATCCTGAAGGTTGATGTGTTCGAAGGACAAGGAAAAGGTCCGACCAAATACGCGGCCAAATTAGATGCAGCACAGCAGATTCTACCAGATCTGCGTCTTCTTCCCCTTCCTGAAAACCCAAATCAAAAGAGGGAGAGGAAACGTGGTCGTGCCTTGTGTGAGAGGACAAAGACCACAGCAGAAAAGCCATCCGTGCAGGTCCTGAGTGAACTGGTGACCAAATTGAGAGGA